CACACACGCACACAGATGCACACTGACCCACTGGTCCTTGCCCATGCAGACTGGCACGTGGACCTGCCAAGGCCTAAGTACATGCAGCTCACAGGTGTATTTACACACATGGGCACCTGCTCGCAGGCATGGGCATCCCTGAACAGGCATGCACACACACACATGCAGGTGTATTCACCCAGAGACACACCCACGCGTACCATGTACAGCTGGCCACCTCCGTACCCCAGAGTTGTGAGTCTTGGAGATGCCAGCCTCAATGGACAGCAAAACCTCACCAACCACATGCCTCTAGCTGCTCCCATGTCTGAACTGGTCCCCCTTCTCCAGGCCCAGCTTCCTCAGAGCCTGAGCCTCTGTGGATGGAGCTGTCTCCTCCCTCTGAGACCCCTGCCTAGTTCCAGTAAGAATGGGGCAGTGATACCTGGCCAGCCTCTTCTGCTTTCCCACAGGAGTCCAAGAAACCATAGGCCTGGCCATGGTGGTGAAGGACAGAGGGACAGATGGAGGGGAGCTCACTGCCTCCACCAAGGGACTTGGCAGTACCAAAGTCCTCTGTCCAGGCAGATGCTGTGACCATGGGCCCTAGGTTATCTCAAGGGCCAGCACGGACCAGGCCATCACTTCTCCACGCTCCCTGCTCCAATCCTTCCCCACTACCCCAGGAATGACAGGTGCCAGCCACCTCTCTGGCTTTTTCTGCCTTAAGACTCATTCCTGGCTGGCCCGGCCCTTCCTGCCAGGAGAGCTCCAAACCGGTTCTGGGGATCAGAGTAGAGAAGAGAGGCACCTTCGTCCTGGGAATGGGGTCTTTCCCTCCACCACAGAGCACCACACGCCCCCCACCCAGCTGGGAAAAGGAATAGCTCAGGGCTGCTGCTCCCAAAAGCTGAAGGCTCTGGACACACCGATCCCTGCCTCTCAGACACCAGCAGCCTACAGACTTGGTGTTGTTAGAGACCCCTGTGGTGCTGTGCCATGGTGGAGGCCAAGGCAAGACACATCCCGCTCTCTGGCCCACTACCCTCACCCGCTTAGGGCACGCACATGTGTAAACCACAGTACACATGAGCATGTAAATAAACGTGTGTATAGCTATATGCATCATTGCTTGTTGCACGTGTGTGCTGGGTCACACATGCACTTGTATGTGTGTGTGTTTGTGCGTGCTTGGGCACACGAGCACATCTACACAAGTCCACGTGCCCATGCACATACATTCCTGGGCATGGGTACCCACACGTGCATTTTATGTGCTTGTGTGTGTGCATCTGTGATCACATGCACATACACATGTGCACAGGCAGGGTGTCTCGGTGGCAGCGTCCACAGGTGCATTTGTGTGCCTGTGGCGGTGTAAGCACATCGGTGTCCATGTGCCCTGTACGTGTGCACGTGTGTATGTGAACACATCGGTGCACACACGCATGCTGGTGTGGGCGTGCTGTCTGTGTGCAGCTCGGGTCCTGGGGTCACGAGCATGCTTCTCCGGCAAGCTCACCCTCCCGCGGCACGCCGCCCAGCCGCCCTCCCCGCCGCATGACCCCAGCCCCAGCCAGGGCTCACCAGAGTCGGACTCGTCCGGGCTCACGGAGCTGAGCAGGTCCTTCTCCTTCTCGTAGTCACCCTTGCACAGCAGCTGGCCCTCCTTGAGCACAAACTCGTCACCCTTGCGTAGCTGCCGCTCACACACGCAGCAGCAGAAGCAGCCCAGGTGGTACACGCATTCCAGTGCCCGCATCACAAACTCAGTAGGGGCAATCTTCTCCATGCAGCCGCTGCACTTGGCCGCGAAGAGCCTGCGGGTGCACAGAGTGGGCGCATTAGCTGGGCTCAGGGGTCCCTCTTGGAGGCCACTGCCTACCCAGAGCCTCTCCTTCCTGCCACCCTGACACTCCAGCCCAGGTGGGAGAGGCCATCCCTGGGCACCGAGCCGGACAGGTTTGGACCCTGAAGTCCTACTCTTTTGGCTCGCAGGGCCTCAGGTTGGGTTCTGGGCATCCTGCCCAGGCCTCTCTTTGGTGCGTCAGCTCGGGGCCCTTCCCGCTCAGGCCACTAGAGGGCAGAGTGCAGGGTCAGCCTCAACCCTCCCCAAGAACTATAGGGCTTCTGCCCTGAGGGAAGGGCAGGCTCCCATAGGTCCACCCACCCTCATTCCAGGACCCGCTCCCGCTTCCTCCCTGCCCTTCCTTCACCCCCACATCCAAGCAACCTGCCTCCCATACTGGGCCCCTCCTCTTCTGCCTGTCTCCTCCCAGTTTCCTCCCTGGACTCCTGGTGCCTCCAACCCTTCAACTCACCCTCCAGGAGGAAAATCAGAGAGATCTGTCTAAAACACACTCTTGATCATGCTGCTTCCCTGTTCCAAATTCTTCCATGGCTCCCTAGTGCCCTTGGGAGACATCCAAGTTCCTGAGTCCGCCATGATCCTGCCTCTTCCCTTACCCACCCCCTTACTCCCCAAGGCTGTGCCCCACAGAACAGCCCGCAGTTTCCCCAGCCCACCATCGCGTTGCCCTTCGCA